TATAAATACAGTGAATATGTTGAATAGAATGAACATCTTCACTGTATGTATTTGTTGAAGCTCTTCATACCTTTGACAGAGACAGTTGCTCTTGGAGAGACTGTATATCCACTCTCATCATAACTCAGTAAACCATTAACTCTGAGTTGATATGATCCAGAGTCTGACTTAGTGAGGTCATTGATGATGATGCTGCAGTTCCTCAGACTCACGTCAGGCTCCAACAGTGAAACTCGTCCTGTAAACCCAGACTGAACTTTGTTGTTGTTGTTAGTGTGGAGTATCACGTCTGAATCCCCACATCTTCTTTTAGATGCATCACATTTGTACCACACCATATGTTGGGGTTTAAAGCCATAAGCAATGGTGAAAGAACACGGTATCACAACACAGAGTCCAGCCTCTGCTGTTATTTCTCCTTCACTGAGAGTGATACAGTATCCTCTGTCACAGTGTTCCTTCACTGCTACACCTGTTAATGGAAACAGTGAGAGAAAAACAGAGGACAGGAGACATATAAATCTTGATAATACATTCATTGTTATGTTTAATAAATGCTCAATAAAGGCTACTACTAGGACTGTTTTGTTTTACTAACTGCTGTTGTAAGCATCGCTGAGCAACAAATATCAGTATAACATATTTCTTTACACATAACTTTGGTAAACAAGTCAAATATACTATAGTCAATGGATGCTTTGTGTAATGCTTCTAATAAGGACATACTATATCATTGCAAATTGTTATCTACTTTGTTTATATCTTTTATTGTTGGCATCATAACTTGATTATAATAAAAGATGCATACCTGCGTCAGCAGTGATGCCTCTCACAGAGAAGAGCAGAGTCGTCCAGATGAGAACAAACATCCTGATGTGATGATTGAGACAGTCAGTGTCTTTTCCTTTCAGAAGGACAAACATTCAAATGTTTCACTTCATGAAACCGGAGCAGAACAATCTCCACGGTTGACAGCACAGATTTAAATACATGATGTTGCAGGTTCACGTTTTCTGTGGTGACATTGATAAATGTGGCTAACATCATCTTCAGGGTTGTGATTCCCACAAAATGTTTTATTTCCAAGAACTTTTTAACATCTGTTCCATAAAACTGCTAAATAAATAAACTTATCTTAATCTTATCTAAAATTATCTGTGGCAGTTTTATCTACAATCCCCCCCCCCCAACCCCAATGAAATGCACACAACAGTAAGTAAATAAGTAAAGCGAGGAATTCTAAAAAGTATTTCATGACATTAGTAAGGAAACAATGACTTCTACAGTTTCCATTAACTCTTAAAAAGATGATCTAAAAAGTACGGTAAAGGTTGTGTTTTACCTCTTTTTTGTTCTCTTCTCACCACAGTGATCTCTGCTGAGCGTCTCTGCTCTGAACTGACTCTTCCTCTCTTCGTCTTCCTTTTTTAATTCGTTCCTCTTTGCGCTACAACAATTTTAAAGGAAGTTTCTCTTCACACTGCTGGCCCTCGTTAGACTGCCACACTCACAAATCTCTAAAATGTGTGCCTACGTTAATATAAATAAATAATGTATATCAAGTTGATAATGTACAACTTTAACACTGAATAATGAAATGAATCGGTCTTGCTATTTTCTTTTCTTCAGGACTGTATATGTGTGATGAACTCTGAGAAAGAGGAAGTACCATATGTGTACTTGAGAAGCTTGTGTCACCTTAAGAAACCAAATAGCTCATCTATCAACTATCCTTCTACATTGTAATGCACAATACAATACATACATGTGCATATAGGGTGGTGAATGTGCATGCATGTGAATGGTCTGTACTATAACTGCCGTCTTTAATGAAGTGCGTGAAATACCGGCAGATAAAAAAATAAGATATTTGTTTTAATCCTAGCTCTTAACTGCATGAAGTTCCATATTTGTAACAGTATGGTTCTTATGGTTTATTGTGCAACATTCTCAGTTGTGTTCTCAGAAAAGTCTCTGAAGGGATTATTCATTGAAACATTGCTTTACATGGCATCACTGTATTCTCTCTAATAACTTCCTGTTGACACTCTGAGATGGTAGATTATGACTATAACTATATTTAACTGCTAACTGGCTTCATATCTGTCCTCATCTGTTTCTATATGTCTGCATATTGAACACTCACCACAGAACCTGTCAACATTGCAGAATGTACCAGAAAGAAAAAAAGGTTTTGTTGCAATTGATAACTCATGATTTCATCTCAAACATAAACAAGTGTGTTTTCTGTTTAAAAGAAGCCAAGTTGATTCCTGTAACACAATAAAAAGAGAAGTAATCTACGACTTCCTAATTTGTCTAAAGTAGAGACAAACTGGGTCAAACATTTTATCAGTTTGAAAAAACAAATCAATCCAAAAAGCTAAATAAAATTAAAAACAGCATACTGATCTGCAATTTGTTGTTTAACAATTTTTCATATTTTATATAAAAATGAATGCATGTATCCACACCAGTTTAAAGGAGTGTAACTTTTTTTTTTTTTACAAACAATACTATCATGCATATGTACATCAACATTTCTCCAATTGTTGTTCATGTTCACACGGGCCCTGAAGACTTCCCATCATAATTCAATTCCACCGTAATAGATTGAGACAAAATCTACAGTCCTCATTCTGTGACAACATGCATCATTAAATTCAGCTGAAGCTAAAATGACGCTTCAGCAGTCTGAGTTAGACAGCTCCACATCTACAAAAGCTCTTTTAAGTATGAAATGTGCTCTGCGTTACTACCCTCCACTGCAAACCGGCAAAAAAAGGTTCCCTGTCTTTTACACTGGAATTACTTTAGGAAGGGATTTAACTCTTTCAATATATATTCCAGTATTGTATTGAGACAGACTTGTCAACATTTCAACCTATCCTTTGAGTTCCTTTGCTGCAGACACTTTAAATGAAAATGAAACAAGATTAAGACACTACAGACGTAGCCGCTCCGTCAAGTGCAGTGGTGCTTTAAGCTAAATGCTAACTTACTTACAATACAATGCTAGCATGCTATCATTTGCTAATTGGCATTAAACAAAACATACAGTCATTAGTTTTGCAGGTATTTGGTCATATGTTTAAAAGTTTAGGGATAACCAATGTTAACAAAATGTTATCCTGAAGTGGACAGTGTGTCTCTACCCGATTCCATGGCAATCCATCCAATAGTTGTTTAAACAGTTCATTCAAAACCACATGCCAAACTCATGGTGGAGCCAAGGAAAAGTCACAGGATGAACAAAGTCATTGGGATGCATCCCCTGGGGAACATGAATAACACTTAATGGGAATCCATCCAACAGTTGTTGAGATATTTCAGTCTGGCCCACAGCGGTCAGACAAACCAATCAACAGACTGATGTTGTCATCCCTAGAGCCACGCTGAAATAGAGACATCTCTGACTTAAGGCACATGTTTATCCTAGTTAAACAATATGTATCTCACAAAAGCACACTTCAGCTCTCAGAAGCAGCAGGACGGAGGTGGTTGTCCCTTTATACGCCAGTGGAGGAATAGCGGAGTCCACTTCTTCATGGATGTGGGTACTCTTATTTGGGACGTTTATGAAAAGTCAACACATTTAAGCTCAATAACACTTGAATAAGGAAACTGTCCAACTTCCAGTTTACCCTCAGTTGAATGAATGGATTTACAAAGCCCCTAACGTGTAGAGGTGTGAAGCGTCTCCGTCACTTCGCCACAGGCTGAATGTGGCGTTTGAAGACCGCAGCTGTTAGAAACCGTTCACAGGACCGCCATTCATTCACTGGAATAACAATCCATCATCAGTCCATTACATCAATCCATCACAACTGATGAGAGCAAAGAAACTTTATCCTCAAGCAACTCCACCATGCAACAGTCCTCAAATCTCAGACATTATATCCTTCACGTTGGAGTACACTGCAGCGTCCTCCCCGTCAGAGTACACTGCAACGTCCTCCCCGTCGTCCTCTTCAGGAACACAAGGTGTCGTCTCTTCATCCTCCGTGACCATCTCCCCCTCCAACACATAACCTTCCTCTTCGCCATTGTTTTCCATTTCCTCTTTTACTTCTTTCTTAATTTCAGCATACTCGGTCTCTGTGGTTTCTTGCTTCTTTGCTGCATCCCTGGTATTCTTTCTTCTCAAGACGGAGAAATCAATGCTGGCGTACTCCACATCTTTAGGTCCACCATTGAGATCAGGGGCTGCTTGCTCTGCTGCCGCAGCTCCTTCTTCTCCTTCAGCCAACTCTTGGTAGAAGGTCTGATCATCATCGACTGCTTGACCAGCATCGATCTGTCAGGAACGTCATTTATACAACTCATTCAGCAGCTGCTACACAAATTAAATAGTAGCATTTAAAAACAATCAGCTTGAAGCTGCTTGGCTTTGAGCTGACTAAAGTTTTCAAAAAGACAATCAGTGTAATCCATAGATATGCCCGTAGACTGTAGGTGTAACTGGCAAACGCCATAAACTAACCTCCACAATGAAGGGTTTGCTTAAGCAAAGCTATTCTTAAAAGGCCACAAATAAATATTAAAGGATAGTGCAGGGTTAGCGTTATTGGAAATGGATCACAGAATATCAGCTGAACAAACTATGGACTGACAAATGACAGTCTAAACCTCTATAATCTGTTCACTGAGCAGACTGCAGAGGGCCCAAAGTAAAAAGGCTGCCCAAAATATTTAGAGACCAGATATGAGCACCGTTATAGTTCTATAATAGTCTAGGGTTACAACAATATTTTCCCTCACATTTCACACTCTGGGGACATCGACTTAGTCGTTTAATTTTTCCTTCTTTTGGGGCAACAACTCTCAAATGTAAATAATACATTTGGTGTCTGAATTACTCTTTCTGTCTCTGTTAAAAAAGTCATTTTTAAGAAAGAAGAAAAACATCAATACAACACGTGCTCCCAAAATGTTGAGCAGAATGAACAGAAATACCAGTGGAGCCTCTTGACTGGTCACCATCTCCAGACTCTCATCCAGATTTCGAGAGATCTTCTGATTTTTTCTGGAAAAATGTATAAAAAACAGTAACAAATTAGCATTAATTTCGGCATATTATCCACAAATAACAGCCGGGAATTAATAATTAATAATTAAATAGTGTACCTGTGACATTTCGTGGCCAAACAGCAGAGGACTGCTGAAAGAAGAACCCCAATCAAAAAGGCAATGATGACTTCCAGCCATGAAACCAGTTCTTTGGACTGATCCGCTATCAAGAGGAACAAAAGAGAAATGTCTGTCCATGTCCTTCTCAACGCTAATATGCAACATTTTATTTTCTTCTGACAGGTTGCTCAATGGTTTGTCGAAATAGAAAAGGTCACAGTGAAATAATTAGTGTACTAAATATGTCATAAGGCAGTGGTCTACATAGCTTCAGTGTTTTAGTTGAGAACATTTACCTTTTTCTTTTTCTAATATGGTCATTCGGATTTTGAGGTTTTCTTTTGCTTCCCCATTTTCATTGCTGCTGACACACTCAACAGAAGTGTTGCTGTGGTCTTTTACAGTCAGGGTGACGGTGCTGCTGACTGTGTGGTTTGACACAGTAGTAATGATGGCGTACTCAGTATGGTTCTTCAACAGCGGCCAGTTGATGGTGGGTAAAGGAAACCCCTCACTGATGCACACACAGGTCAGGACCTCCGACTGAACCTCACACCCAGAGTTGTTTAAGACCTTTGAAAACCCTGCAAGCACACAAGCAGAATCACAATGTCAAAACAAAATGCTGAGAGTGTGAACATAAACTTCCTTTAAGTACAGTCTACTTACAAGTCACTGTTACATCCGCATATGTAGTCACAGTCCTGTCCAGGTGTTGTGCTGTACAGATGTACTGTCCAGAATCTTCTGTCGTCACATTTGGGATGACAAGTGTGGCTGATCCAGTGTGGTTCTGCAGGTCGGTGTCAAGTCCGTTGCCCAGCTTTGTGTTGGAGCCAAGTACAGTCCATGTGATATGAGACGGAGGAAAACTTTCAACACTACAGGTTAAATTCAGAGCATCTCCCTCCTCCACTGTTGTATCACCGGTGACTAAAGGTTTCCTCACATCTGTGAAGCAAATCATGAACAAAATATTTCAAGTTCAGATACGGTGAAGAGGTTGGAAATGGATACAAGATGTATTGTCATTGCATTCATGCATCGTCTGCAGTATGTTCTTATTTAAATACTATCACTGGAGGGCGCCAACATCTAAAGATGTTCAGACTCTACACACACTGGTTTTAACAGACAACACAAGTTTATACGATTCTAAAGATTTGGCTCCAATTTTGCTGAGAACCACCTGGAAGTCTTCGCAATACCTCCATAGATCCAAGGGCTTTAAAAAAAAAACAACTAATTTCCATAAGAAGCTAAAGCAAATACAGGACATTTTTGCAGCAGACAAATATGTAATAAATGCCCATTGAGGTGGTCTCACATGTATTTGGAGGTGAGGGGCAGTGAAGTCATTCATAATTAACTTAGAAGACTTATCAAGGTTGTTCTCTGCTCTAAATATAGTTTAATAAAAGAAAGAGCAAAAGACTATAATAAATGTTCTGTCTTAGAACAGATGTACAATGTACTTACATGTGACTTTTACATCAACATTTTCCACTAGGGTTTGATTCAGATATTCTGCTCTGCAGATGTATCGTCCAGAATCTTCTGTCGTCACATTAGAGATGGAAAAAGTGCCGATTCCACGTTCTCTCTGCATGAAGGTCTCAGTGTTGTTCTGCCAATTTGTTTCTGTTGCATTTTGCATGTTTGTCTCAGAAGGTTTTGTCCACGTGATGAGAGATGGAGGGAAACTTTCAACACTGCAGGTCAGATGCAGAGTCTCACCCTCCTTCACACTTGTATTCCCAGTGATTCTAAATTCCTTCACATCTATGAGACAAAATGACATACTGTATTATATGGAGATGCACCGATCATTCATAGCGGCACAGACAGTAATAACAGCCACACACACAACATGTGTCGGAGAGTGAAGAAGACATAAAGCTCATTTGTCACAACTTGAAGTCCAAAATAAGCCGTGGAGGAAAAACCTTAAAAACATCTGGAACAACTAGCTTGATCCTGATACACTTATCATGTTGTAATTTATTCCCATGCATGCTGCTCAGAGTAATCACAGGGATTTGCTTGTCTGCAGACATCACAGAGCTAACAGCTAAAGTTAACGGAGGTTACATTGCATCGTGGTGCGTTCAAGCTCTGCTCAGATAAATTGAGTATTGGGCGAAAGTAAATTATAACAATGTTAATGATGTGTTCATATGTTATCTTGTAAAATGTAGTTTTTGGCAAGAAAATTGAATGAAAACTCTTGTTTGAAGGAGACGATTTTACCTGAATATAAAATAGGAATTAGAGAGGGAGTTATGACATGTTCAGCTTCATAACAGCTTTAATCTGCTTATAATACATAATTAAAACTAGTAATGGCAGTATTTCGTTTTTAATCAAAGGAAGTATTTAGATATGTATTATTATACATTCAATACATTTTTTGCCTTATCATTTGAATTGTGTGTTTCATACAGATAACCACAATAGATGGAATTAAGATAGAAAAATGATAACATTTAGATTTTTTGACAGTCCGGAGCCTTGCTGTCAATAATTGCTCTTAGAAAGGAATCGGCAAAAAACGGAATCGGCAGGTCAGACAAAATTGGAATCAGATAACAAAATTGCAATCGGTGCATCTCTCGTATTATATATAATGTTAAAGCACCCCAAACTCATAACTTTCCTGTAAGAACACTGTTGGGTAAAATTCAACACAGCTCAGAAAAACATTAGAAATGACACGACAGCACATCTCTTAGAACACATTTTAGATAGTAGAAAGAAAGGTGAGAATAAGTGCAGGATGTGCTATACTCACAGGTCACATTCAGAGTCACTGTCTCCTCTGTAGTGATGCTGTTTGTGAAGCTGACCTTACAGGTGACATCGGTGCCGTGCTGTTCAGCTGAAGGGTTAAAGGTCAAAGTTGAGCTGTGTCTCTGTGTGACAGCAGTGATGTTTCCTGTGATGTGAGAGTCCTTCTCTCCTGCTCCTCTCCACGTCCAGGTGATTTTAGGATCAGATCCAGAGCAGAGACCAGGAGCAGTGCAGGTCAGTGTGGTCTGCTGTCCCTCTGTCAGAGGAGGAATCATCACTGTGGGCTTCTGGGTCAGACCTAAAGGGAGAGCAGTCGATGAGTGGAAGCAGGTGAGCAGCCTGAAGGTCATTCACTTAAGTTCAGGCTAAAATAATCTGATACTTTGTTAAACATCTCGATGAGGCAATAAGTCAGAGTTTTATCAGGAACTGATGCAGTTTCTACTGTTTGCCCACAGAGGTCGACAAATGTGCAACATTATTTAATTATTATTCCATTCAGACTATAAATACAGTGAATATGTTGAATAGAATGAACATCTTCACTATATGTATTTGTTGAAGCTCTTCATACCTTTGACAGAGACAGTTGCTCTTGGAGAGAATGTAAATCCAGTCTCATAATCATACACGAAACCATTAACTCTGAGTTGATATGATCCAGAGTCTGACTTAGTGAGGTCATTGATGATGATGCTGCAGTTCCTCAGACTCACGTCAGGCTCCAACAGTGAAACTCGTCCTGTAAACCCAGACTGAACTTTGTTGTTGTTGTTAGTGTGGAGTATCACGTCTGAATCAGCACATCTTCTTTTAGATGCATCACATTTGTACCACACCATATGTTGGGGTGTAAAGACATAAGCAATGGTGAAAGAACACGGTATCACAACACAGAGTCCAGCCTCTGCTGTTATTTCTCCTTCACTGAGAGTGATACAGTATCCTATGTCACAGTGTTCCTTCACTGCTGCACCTGTTAATGGAAACAGTGAGAGAAACAGGGATCCGGGTTATTTTAATATGACAATAGAACATAATATTTAATAAATGATGATTTAATAAATGATGGAGAAAGGCTACTACTATGATTTTGTTTCATATAACTGCTGTTAGAAGCAGCGTTGATCAGACAACAAAACAGAATTTCTGTATTTAACTAAGTTTCTTTATTCACAATTAAATTGAAAAACAAAATGGTCATTTAAATAACTATTTATGCAAGTCAGAGTTTCCGGGCATGTAAATGAATGCTGTGAGGAGTGCTACTAATGAGCTGGTAGGAGAACTATCTACTTGTAATTTGGCAGCATGACAGGAAAACATGAAGACATTTATCATTATTGCTGTCTATTTTGTTCACACTTCAAATCTCTAATGTAGGCATGATAACAGGATTATAATTAAGATGCATACCTGTGACAGCATTGTTGCCTCTCACAGAGAATAGCAGAGTCGCCCAGATGAGAACAAACATCCTGATTGTTGATGATTGAGACAGTCAGTCTCTCCCTCCACCGGACAAACTTTACACTGAAAGTGCAACAAACATTAGAGGAACTGAAGCAAAGGAAGCTCCACAGCTGACATCACAGATCTTAACACAGGATGTTGCATGTTCAGTTATTCCATAGTTGCCACATTTGTACCCAAAACGATCCTTTATACGTAAGTAAACGTTTTAACAATAATCTTTACAGAAATCGAGCTTTGGGAAAACTGAACCTTTTACTGAATTTACCACCAACTCTGATAAACATAAATTAATACTCCCATCTCATCTCCCAAGCATAGTCCACCTTTACTGAACCAGCAAATCCAGCAATGTTAAAAGACAATTGCGAGAATGACTCAGTTCAATAACTTACATTTACAGTACAAAAAGATATTTAAAAAATAACTATAAATGTTTTTTACCTTTTCTTGTCTTGCTCTCTGCTCTCTTCTCTCAACAGTGATCACTGTAGAGTGTTTCTTCCTTTAACTGATTCATCCTTTCTTCACTTTTCTATTCCTTCTCTGTTTGTGCAACAACAGGGTTTCAGGAAGTTCCCCCACCGCTGAGCAAAATGTCTCCTCTCCTGTGACCGACAGGCTTTTATATTTTCATATCTCAAAGTATCACGATATGTGTATATCTCTTATGAGCAATTTGCACCTTTAGCATCTAATGATGAAAAGTGTTTTTTGACTGTTTGATTTTTTAGATAATTGCCCCGACTGTGAGGTAATATGAAAGTTTTTGAAAAGAGAAGTACTGTAAATGTTTTTTTTTTCAAAAGAATATTATAATCTTGAGAAACCACCAAACCATTTGAAGCACTAAGCACTGTTTATGTGTTATTATTGAACTACTGTATGTAGCTTCTTTAATTGCTTAAGCAACGCACAACACATACAGCTTAATAGGTAATAAATGCAGTGAAAGTTGAGTCATGATGGTGAAATGAACATTGTTATAATCTTGTTTTAAAATGATAACTTGTGACGGATGAAGTGCATTAAGAACCAAGAGAGTCAAATAAAAAGCTTTCAGCATTTCCTCATTACAAATATATGCAGAAACTTAGGAAGCACTTCCGCAAATCTGGTTTATAATTAGGCAATGTCTGTAGATACTGTTCACAACAAAGTCAATGTAGTGATTATTAATTTCAACATTGCCATATATAGCACCACTGTGTTCTCTGTATCTCTGATAACATCTTATTTGTACTTTAAGGTGCTAAAACTATTTCTTACAAAGTACTGGCTCGAATGCGTCTCAATCATTCACTTTATGTCTGATGCCTCATAGCAGAACCTGTAGAAACGGCTGAGTTACCAGAGGTTAGAAAGACAGACTGCAAATCTGTCTCAACCAATAAATCTGCGTATTAATAATCATCGTAACAATCAATTGTGAAATCTTAATTGAATCTAGGCCAGGTTAAAACCTTGTATATGGCTGGACTGTACATGGTCAATGGGCTAGTGTCTGTAATGTGAATTCCTGGATGTTGAATGTTCATCTGGAATTTTCAGTTGTGGTCCCAGTAATATTTGTCCTTGAAGTGCATTCGTCTAAAGTGTTAATGTTCTACTTCAGTCACTGCGGTGCGTTCATGTCCCAGGCAGCCACACTGTATTTTGTAGTAATGTAGAGAAGCCACAAGATGGCAGTAGCTACATTTAAGTACCGTAAGAGAACCATTCAAGTTGCTGAATATTCAACATGTTCCTGCTACTGTTTCACAAGAAAGGCCTTGTATGAAGAGATTGCGTCCACTGAAACGCTAACAAGCTTTTAATTTGAAATGAATACAGTAAGATTGTACTAACAGCATAATGCAATAATTCATAGTAGGGAAAACCGTAGAAGTATGCGTCGCAATGTCGCACAATAAACGTTTTACATTCAAGATTGTGAAGTATAAGTACACAGTAAGTAATAAATAGTTGACGTGCATATTTTATAAGTACTTAAGGGCCCTTTTACAAGTTATTTGAGGGTACAATGACTTAAAATAGTAACACAAGTGAATATTTATACAGTACTTTAATTAAACCTTAATTATAGGACCTTCATACTTCTTACATCACAGCATCAACAACAATGTTACTCAAAACGAACTACAGAAATATCTCAAATCAAGCTGAGCTACATCCAGATTGCTCTATAAAAGTGTGAATACTCTATTAATAATAAAATCTTGAACAAGACTTAAAATCTACAATTACACTGGAGAACAAATGCATACTTTGTGTAAAATCCCATGTGCATTTCTATCCAACAATGCAAGTAACTGCAAGTAACAATAAAATCCTCTATTAAAAAACAAAAACAGTCCTTTCATATTGAATATGTATCAATGGAAAAAAAGAAATGTAACCATAAATAATATCAGAAACACTTTTTATTAAAAGACATCCATTTACAAGGATTCTTATGTACACTATCACACATACACATTTACGTTTGTTCAGTGGGGGGGATGTTGACAGTGACACGCCGCCTGGAGCTTCCCCGGTCTGCTGCCAGGTTGAACCACCTAATAGCGTGTTTGAGAATCTCCTCATCAGTGGCTGCACGGGTGAAATGATTCTTTCTGACGGCATATGTTCCTGGCATTAGCTAAACTGGATTTATTTTCCCATCAGTGAAGCTTCAGTAAAGTGGGTGTTTGTTTAACTAGCGGTGTCTGAAGAACTGCGAGCTGTTTTTCACCTTGGCAAAATGTCCATTAACCATGTCAAATGAAATCCAACTGGGCTTTTATCCGTCCAACACAGATGCTCCATTTTGGCTAAAATACAAAAACACGTAACTGATAACATCAACAATACAGACACTTCTGTAACTATCATAACTTGTTTATTAGAACGACGTTGCTGTTTTTCATCAATTTTCAGTTCAAGTTTTGTGAAAAAGCCACACTTGTTTCCCCTCAAAGTTCTCTAAACATCCACCTGAAGTTACTGATCAACGGATCCCAACTTCACCTTCAGGTACCTGCCTGACGTGACTGCTCTCTAAAATACGGTGGCCCTGAGGGTTCAGCGCACTGCAGCAAGAAAACTCACGCAAGTAAACATAACACAAGACAATAAAAAAGCATCTTCATGAAGTTGACAAAAAACAACTATAAACAGGCAAATACAACAACTCAATACTTAAATGAACTCATAAACATCGGCCCTATTAAATGTTCAGTGGACCTTCATAAAGGTTCATGAAATGGAAACAAAAAAATAATAATACTGTATAAAGCAAGATATAAGTTACAGTTAAATTAAAAACGAACTCTAAGAAATGCCATATTCATAAAGTTCTACGCATGTTGAATGGAAGTATGGAAGTACCATCTTGTTCTACACTCAGTGGAGCTGACACTTGTTAGTTCAGAGGTCGAGCAATAACGTCATACTCTGGTGATTGGTCTGTTTTCCGCAGTGACATGTAAGTTCTGTCCTCTTGGTTTGGTTTCACCTTTTTCCTTGTGTTCCTTTGGAGAGAAGAAAGAGTGAGACATGATGTGTTGTCTAAAAGTCTCCACAGCATTGAGAGAGGGATCAAAGCATGAAATGATGAAGTAGTAACATACCAACGGAACATCAAGAGGATTATGCAGATGACATTCACAATGAGAGAAACAACAGCAACGATGATCCAGGGAAGTTCTGCACATGGTCCGTGTTGATCTGCTATTACAAATGACATCATGTAGATTGTATGACTCTTCAAGTGGTATTAAAGCCGTACACTTAATGGCTACTGTGTGAACTATACACTCCCATTTAAGCGGTGTTGGCTGTAAATTATACCAAAAATGACATGAATCTATAAATGGAATTACTCAAAAATATTTAAATGATAGCCGATAGTGTGGTTTCTATTACAGCTGAAGGCCATAACAACCATGCAAAATGACATGTACTCTACTGGATTTTATTATTTATTTTAAAATGTTCAACATGATCCACATCTTCATAGAATCAGCTCAACAAATTGTACTTTAAATTCAACAAAACATTCTTATTGATATCAGTGATTAGTTATGAGTGTGTTCACCTTCCCGCCTCTCTGAAGTTACGATAGTGACTTTGTGTTGTACTTCCCCAATTTCACTTCTGCTGACACATTCAGCAACAGTGTTGCTGTGGTCTTTTACAGTTAGGGTGATGGTGCTGTTGACTGTG